CACAACCCAGCTTCACTTCTCACGCAGCAAAGCAGATCTGGAAAAAAACTTCAATTCCCTGGCAGCAACGCAGGTCTGGAAACCAGTCCACTCAACATCCCCTCAACACTGGACGGAGGTGTTCATATAGGAGTGTCGGGCTCACGGAGACGATCCCAGCCGCGCCGGCGCGTGACGTCGGAGCTCCGGGAGTGCGGCGGCGCGTGGACCTTCCGATGACTGCTCCGATCCTCCCGGCGGCGGCGCCTCCTCGTTCCGACCAAAGCCCACCACCCACATCTACTGTTCTGATACCATGTTGAACTCTAAAGAAGGAAGTGTATATATGTATTGCAATCGTAGAACTCAATGAATAGAGTACAGGAAGCCTATGGTTATATACAAGCTAAAGGGGAACTCCTAACCACTTATTTCAAAATTCGAATGGGTAGTTAGGAGACTTCCTCTAACAACTTGCTAACAAGGGTCAAGTGCCCTTATATAGGTGCAACCAAAACGGGGTTGACATTGACCCGAACCGTTTGATCGCCCCAAACAAGGGCAAGGAGCGTACGGGGAGTCTGAACCCGGGGTATATTCCCCATCAAAACTAATTCAACCGCCTAAAATTGGAAAAATAACAAAACAAAAATATGAAAAGACAAAATTGTTCTTATTACAAATAAGAAAAGTCATGATAAGAACTAAAAGTGTCTAAAAATAATAGTCTAGAATGTTAAATGACGAAACAATAGTTTGTGACTAAATTTGGAATTGTCATCAAAGACAATAGTGAAATTAAAAATATTCAAAGTATGACTAATATATACTTTAGTATTACAATTATTAATTAATTAACATGTTTAGTCATGTTCTCAAAACAAGTTAGTAGCTTAAAATAAGAGTTTGTTTTGAAAAAATATCTTATGTAGCGTTCAAAAAATAGGCTAGGAGCTTTATAATTTTATTTTTTTAATCCTCGTTATTTTAAATAAATGACATCATTTACCCTTACCAATTAAAAAAATAAATTCTTTTGTTTTAATTTAATATATATCTCATATATATTATAATTTTTTTATAAATTAAATATATCTTATGTATTTAATATTTATTAATATAATAATCACATCATTTTTTTGAATGCTGGCTCTATTACAATGTAGTATACTTTCTCAACCTACTAAAACACAAAGAACCGCTTCCACTGAGGCTTGAACTTACAACATTTCAAATGAAAATCCAACTCAAGTACAATTAGACCATATAGTCCTAATAATAATCACATCATTTAAATTTATGAATATTCATTTTTAGTCCTTTTACATTTATCAACTTATTAAAAATTATTTTTATCAAACACTTTTAATCATAATCAGTTCGTTAACAACTCTTCAATTTTCAACTTATAATTTTTCAACTTTCAACTACATTTTCAGCTAGGGTTCTCAAACATAATCTGAAACTTGATTTTGAATTGACACTCCAACAGGAAAGGCAACTCGAATTGATGCTAAATCACTGTCGGTATTAATACTAGTAAACCTTTCGTGGCAATAGTTGAATATAGAACCAAATTTACTCAATTATTACTCTCATTATTTTAAGATATATATATATATATATATATATATATATATATATATATATATATATACACAGCTAATTGTGGGTTTAAATTTGAATGTTTAGCATGAAATGTAACAATTCATCTACATGTTAACGGATATCTTAATGTTTTAGAAATACAATTGACATGTTTGTTTCTATATTGATCAAAACATTATACATGCACAATTGACATGTGTCACAATAACATTTACTTAATAAATATCTTTAATACACTTGATAAATATCTATACTACAATCATCAACGATTACTACATGCAACGTCTTAAATAATTGATTATTAATGACATTATTACAAAGAAAGATTACAACTTAAATGCACTAATAATATTCATAATAAAATTCAAACTTATAACTTAAATTCTACCCTGTCAATTTTTATAAATCAATGCCTTAAAACTTGCTTACTATATATATAGAAATATGATCAAATGAGAATTAGATTTTATGTGAGAATGTACAAATTAATTTCATCCGTCTATTTAAAATAATAAATGGTCATAAATTTAAAAAAAAAACATTGATATTTATCTAATTACGCTTGTGCATTAAAAATACTTAACAGTACAACTGGAAGAGAATCTCCAAATTTACTGTCAAATATTTCTATATATACGGTCATAATTATATAAATATTATCATATTTTTCATTAATTTTTATATCCGGATCATATTAAATAGACAGATCAGATCATTTACAAGTTGTCATCAAAAACCTTTTTTTTTTTTTTTTTGGGAGGCAGAGCATATATATGTACACTAACACTTGTCTATATTTATTAAAATCCGGTGATCCAAGCCCCACACCACTTATAATGAGGTTAACCATCTTGCCATAAAAATGATCGGCATCACATGGGTGCCACGCTGCCAACAAATAGTGCATATGATGTCTGCGACCAATCTAAGATCCCCTCCAACAATATTGACCAATGGTTTTCAATTATTAGGCTAGCGGCAATTAAAAATGAACTCTTTAATTTGAGAATATCCCATTGGAAACAATGGTTAATGTTTAGGATGTTGTAAATGTTTATTTTATGGTCATTATTTCACTACTCTTTTTTTTTTTATTTTTGAAAATTTCACTACTCTTATTTTAGTGTTAGTTATGTACAGTTATTATTTGATGTATAAATATTTACAATTATTAATAAATAAAAAAGTGTTTTATGCATTTTTTTTTCCAGATTTCTCTATAGTTTATCTATATTTTTTTTGTGTAGTGTATAATTCTTGTAAATATAGTGTATATTACAATTATTAAATTAAATTTACTCAAACCGACTATGCAATTTGGCTCATTTAAATAATCATTGACTTTTTTCCAATGAACTTTAGGTAAGAAATAAGGTTGGAAAAACTCAATAATAATTTTATGAAAAAGGATTATTATTTTATGGAAATTATGGGAAGGACGAAAGGATGATTTGGGTTGGTGGTTAACACGAGTCGAGCGAAACATTATTTTTTTAAAATTATCATTTCTACCATAAAAATAGACTTCACAGAGTCTAAGAATAAGCTTTGGGAGTCCATGGAGTTATATATACACATATGTGTGGTGGGTCGGGTGAGGTTCTAGGCGGGTTTTGTACATAGAACCCGAATCCAACCCGACACACCGCGAATTTACTTTTTAAAGACCCATGTTGAGCATATAACCATTAATGTGTAATCCAACTATCAACTTAGGTTTTTAGTTGAGATGGAACACATACTTCAATTTGGTATCAGAGTTAGATCAAAGGTCGGATTCAGGTGGATATCCGCAAATTGCCACCCCTATTCAGTGCTCACTAGCTCAACTTCTATACTTTCCATAGGTTTGATGTGCAAAATTAAACTCAAATATATGAATGTTAGATTTGTACATTATGCTTGCTAGTTTATACTTTATGAGTGTGACATGAATGATACCCAACAAAAAAGTTTGTGATTTTTGTTCAATTTTAGGATCACTAAGAAAAAGTTGATAAAACTTTTTTTTTTTTTTAAAGTGTTAATTTCTTATGAATTGGTACTTTCTAATGTGGTTATTATGTACTTGCATTTTGGCCGAATTAACGAATGTAAGAATGTCATTTGATGAATTAATAAAATATTGTTAGATAAGTTGATAAATGCTTCGACATAATTTTATTTTTTTTGAAAGGCTTTGACATAATATTTAAATATCTAAAAATTTAAAAGCTTTTTAAAATTATGGGAAAAGGGTCAAATATGTCCTAAAATTTTACACGAAATTCTAATTAAGGCATTCAATTTTGAAAAGGTACAATTAAATATTTGAACTTGTCATTTTGGTGCATTTAAATTCAATTGCTGGTCATCCACTTGGAATGAGGTCATTAGGGTTTCGATAAAAAATATGACAAATTTCGGTGACGGCTACCAGTGATTGCCATTGAAGAAAAAAGAAATCGACAGGTGATTTTGTACTCTCTTCTCTCGTTTGTGAGGGTTCTATTACGGAAGCCGTGAAATCTCTCGTGCATGAGAGATTTACTTGGTTCTTTCTTTTGTTTTTCAATTTTTACATGTTCAGTGTATTTTTAGTTGATTTTATGGTGGCCTTGCTTTGTTGTTCGACTATTTTTCTCAGATTCAACCTGTCCAACCCTATATCTGAGATATAGATTTTGATTGTCTACCTTAGACGACGACGATAAAACCCCATTGAGCATATCAAGCGACGATTTGACTCAGGCGAGTGGGAGTGAACTACTCACCATTATTGTGGAGAGCAATGACTGCCTGGACGAGGGGTAAGACTAGAGATCCGACCTTCGATTTATCTAATTTTACGTGTTTGGAAGAGACCAATCGATTGGCTTTTCCCTTGAAAAAGACCAGTTGGCGCCTTATCCCCTGGAGAAGGCAACCTGAAAGCCAGCCGTCTTCTCCGGTGGATAAGGCAACCGATCAGTTGCCGACGATTTATTCATTTCTTTAAATGGCAGTGGTGAATGGTGGTCAAGCCGGTCAACGACGATAATTTTACCGGTAACCTATTGGTTATTGGTATGAGACTTATTTAATTCATTTTGATTAATTTGAGTGTTTAATTGCACTTTTTTTACAGTTCAAGAATTTAATTACACTTTAGTGTAAAGATTAAGTGTCTATTTGACTCTTTTTCCAAAAGTTATGGATTAAAAAAATGATCTAACCCAAGTACTCTGATGACATGTAGTGACCTCTCCCATGTGGGAGGCCATGAGATCGAGCCTCATTGGAGGCGTTATTGACTCTCTATACTTCTTTAGGTTGTGTACTACTTACCCGGGCCCAAAAACTGATGGAGATTGGGCTTAAGCCCAAGACATAATGCGATGCGGAATCGCAGTTACGCACTCTCGGGCGGTTTCTTGTAGCGAAAGCGTAACAAACTCCTCCAATTCCCTCCCTTTCCCGCACACATGAATACCGTAGAAATACTGTAGACGTCATCCCAAAATTTCGATCTTTTTTTTTTTGTATCGTTTCCCCGTTCGATCGTAACTCGGGTCGCTGCAGGGTTGACAGATGCATGATGGACTCAATGGAACTCGGCGACTCGCCTCGTTCGAACTTGGAGACAACGGGCCCTGATGTCGCAATCGATCACAATGGAGTATTAACGGCTTCTTCCTCCACTGAAAATATGAATATGGGTATTAGCGCCGAGAAGTTAGTTAGAAGCTTCCACACAAGCACCAAGTTGCCTTCTGGCGCTCCGGCTGAGCTTTCCCGGAAGTTGAACGGTTCAGCGTCGTGTGAGGCATGTGGGCGGCCGGAAGCTGAGGGTTGTGTGGTTGTATGTGATGGCTGTGAACGTGGGTTTCATGTTGGTTGCTTGGGAATGCTGGTGGGAGAGGCCGTTGAGTTGGAGGAGTGGATATGCGGGAAGTGCTCCGACTGTGGAGTGCGGAGTAATCGTTGGAATTTGGGATGGAGGAATAAAAGGAGGCGCGTAGATACTGATTCTGTTTTGGATATCACTGGAACCCCTCGGAGTGAAGGGGAAGGTGAGGGCTGCAAGGATTCATTGTTATTCAGGTTAGTGTTTTTTGGTGTGTAGTGGAACGATTGTTTATATCTTTATTCTCACATAATGAACGTGGTTATATTACAAACGACTATTCATTAAAACTTTCCTGTTGTGTGCACGCACGTACTTTCTGGTGGTGCCTCTTAGACTGATGGTTTGGTCCTAACAACTTCATCTCTTTAGCCATTTTGATGTTAAATTGACACTCCAGGACTTGCATTGGAAATAATTTGATGTATATTTGATATGCTCTTTATGATCATGAAAGATTAGTATTAATTTATTGGACAAAATTTCATAAAGATGCTTTTTCCCAATATGATAATTTTTTTTTTGTCTGCACTTTCATATTTGACCCAAAATCCAAACTTGCGTTTTTTCTTTTGGACTTGCATTTGGTTTGAAATGAAGTTTTGGTTGAGTCTAATTTGGCTGTACTCATTGGATTCAGATTTGGATTTGATGAAATGATGATCAATTTAACCTGTTGGTAACATACATTCTTTATAACATTTGAAGTTCCCTCTGATGTTTTCAATATCAGTCTTTAGTTTCTGGTGCTTTCTTAAAGTAGTTAGTGTTTGATTCTGTTGCTTCTTTCTTTGAGATAGATAATATGCTTTATATTTCCCAAAATGTTAGAAGTTTTTAGATAACTACGGGTTACATTTATTGTGGTCTTAGAAAGCACATTCCAGGTGATAATCCTTTTGGTGGAAATCTATTCGGGCTACCTGTGGAAGTTACAAACTTGCAGCATTTTAATAACAGTTTTGGCTCTCAGGAAGCAACTGATACTGTGAAACACCAGTTTGTGCTCCCAACTTTGGGAGCTGTAGATTCCTGTTTGAAAGGCCTCAAAGGTGAAAATAATTGTACAACCATGGGATCATCAACTAAGGATCTGAGTGAAATGTATTTTCTGGCCCTTAAAGAGTATCTGAAGGAAGAACAACATGTACTTGTGGACGGTTGGCATGTGGAATTTGAGCATAACTCAGCCGCTAGAGAGCTATGTCCTGTTTATGTTGCTCCAGATGGTAAAAGATTAGGGTCAGTTTCAGAAGTTGCTAGTTATCTTAAATCAATGACAACTAACATGCCTACAAAATGTGGAACCGGGAAATATGATGTTAGTATAAAACTTCTCTCATGTTCATTGCTTCATCTATTTCTCCTTTCCTATTGATGGCTTATTTAATGGGTATGTGTATATATACAGGATGGGCTTCCAATTCAGTATGGAGATTTCTTTGTACTTTCAGTTGGGGAAGTTGATGCAAGACATTCTTATCATTGTAGGAACCAGATTTGGCCTGTGGGTTATAGTTCCTGCTGGCATGATAAGGTCACAGGTTCACTTTTCATGTGCCATGTGCAGGATGGTGGTGACTCTGGACCATTGTTTAAAATCAAAAGGAGTCCATGCTCTGCACTTCCTGTTCCAAATCCATTGCAAGTCCTCTATCAAACAAAACATGGCCACTCTAATGGCCAAAATGAAAGAAGTGATGTTTTGGCCTCTCAGTCTATGGATTATGAGGATTTAACTATTATGTCAATGCTTGCAGAACCTCCGGCACCCTTGGAAAATGATATTTTGTCCTGTCTTGTTCATAGTTCTGATGATTATTTGGACATGCAAGGATCACATGACGTGCTGACTGAGAAAAGTCCTAGTAAAAGAAACCAGAGTTTATTGTCTGATTGTTCACCTTTTGGGCATGATGCTGACATCTTTTCTGTTGAAGAGTCCTCTTCTGCTTTGGCTTGGAGAGTGATGTCCAGAAAGATCCTGAAATTATTCCGTGAAATATATACCCAGACAGGTGTTGTTAAGTTCTTCTGCAAGCACATCTTAGACCAGTCAGAATCATTTTGCTGTGATGTTACAAATGAAGGAGCTGCTGAGAAGTATGCTCCTTTAGCTCGGTTTTATGGTCTACCAACCATAGTCAACATTCCTTATATTATTCAAGCTGATATGCAGCTTGAAGTTGTGGCTCAAGAATTGCTGAAGTGGCTAGATCAAGACAGATTTGGCCTTGATGCTGAATTTGTCCAGGAAATCATAGAACAAAAGCAGGATGTTAGAGACAGTTTTGGTTATGTCCCTTTGAATCAGAGGAGTTCATTCTCTTCATTTATTACTGTTGGAAATAGTCTACTTGAGGGTAGAGCTGTAGAAGTTGAAAGTGAAGATGGCAGATGCCCATCACACGGTTTAAGAAGTTCTAATAAAGTGAACTCTAGGACTGAGGAGCACTTGTCAGACACCCGCTCTCTTCCTCCCGGGAGACCTTTTAGCACCAAGATGCCTCCCTTGCTTCTAGGTGACACAATTCAGGTGCGCAGTGTTTCAGATATTTGATTTATAAGCATTTAGTTCAGTTATAGTAATATCTATCTAATGTATATCATTGGAAGCTTGTGTGATCCCTTTCTTTTGTTGTATTTTAGGTGTTGCAGTTCTTTTGGCGTTTCCATGAAGTGTTAGGTCTAAAAAAACTGCTTACATTTGAAGATATTGAGGAAGAACTTATCAATCCACGGTGTCATGGAGTGGATCTTCTTGAGAAGGTTGGTGGGGAAATCCATGAAAAGCCATTTGTAATCCCAAACAATACTGATGGTGCCAAAATGCACATTTCAAGTTACAAATCTGGTCCAGAAGTAGATGTAGAAAATCTGCATGCATTTGTCCAAATGGAAAGAAAATCTATGGAGGAAGCTTCTCCAATGAAACTGGAGTTTATTAATTCTAGCAAATGCTCAGGCTCTGCCTTGACTAAGGCTATTATCTCTACGTTGCATGTTTTAATAAGTGAACTTCAGGTTTCCTTTCAAAAAAAAAAATTAAGTGAACTTCAGGCAAAAGTTGCAGTAGTTGGTAACCTGAACTTTGATATTGGTGATTCTAGAAAACGTGGCAGAAAGAAGGATTTTGACCATGTGTCTATTACCAAAAGAAACACACTATCTATGCTTCCTTATAATGAACTGACATGGCCAGAATTGGCTCGGAGATATGCTTTAGCTTTCTTATCAATGAATGGTTACTTCGAATCAACAGAAATTACCACTCAAGATACTAGTGCACAAGTTTTCCACTGCTTACAAGGTGATGGTGGTGCATTATGTGGCTCTTTGACTGGTGTAGCAGGAATAGAAGTAGATGCAACGGTAAGAATGTTTGAAGTTGTTTTATGTTATATACATGAACATTTTCCTCTAATGGGTGAGTTTATGTAGATCTTTCTCCTGGATTCGTATGGTGCTGGAACCTTACACATGAGGTTCAACTTTATATATTTAGTATCCTGAGTGAGGTTTCTTTTTCTCTTCTTTATTGTTTAGTTGCTAGCAGAGGCTAGAAAGAGAATTTTTGGCTCATTGGATGGAGATGAGAGGGATAACCTAGCTGTAGATGATGAAGACTCTGACAGGAAAAGCTTGGATGAGTCTGTCACAGTAAGTGAAATTCCAGATTGGGTTCAAGTCCTTGAGCCTGTCAGAAAGCTCCCCACAAATGTAGGTGCAAGAATAAAGAAGTGCATCTATAATGCACTGGAGAGAAGTCCACCAGAATGGGCTAGGAAGACCTTAGAGCACTCCATCAGTAAGGAAGTGTACAAGGGCAATGCCTCTGGGCCTACAAAGGTAGTAATTTAAGTTTTACTTGCTAGGATGAAGAAGTGGAGTGACATTATTGGTACTGTGCTTCTGTGATTATAGCACTTGCATTCCTTTTTGCCTTTAATTTTTAAAGCTTAGCCTGCTCTTTTATGCTTTCCAATTCTTTCTCTTTCATGTCAACATGGTGCATATGATAGTTATGGATCATACTTAATACGGAGTACTGTTTAATTAGCTATAAGCTGTATGGAGGTCCATGAATTTGTGTCAAAGGGAAAAGTGATGTTGTGATTATGATTAGGAACAAGTATCATTTCACAGACACACAGATCTGGATGCTTTAGTTGTATGCTTTGTTCATGCATCTTGCTAATGACTTGAAATTCTCACTGTTTTCTTTTCTGGAAACAGAGAGCTGTTCTGTCTGTTCTAGCTCAAGCACAAGCTGAAAATGTTCCACACAAGCCTGTTAATGAAAAAAAGAAAAAGAAGTTCATATCAATCTCCAGCATACTTATGAAGCAGTGTCGAGTTGTGCTCCGTCACACATTAGCTGCTGATCACAGAAAGGTTTTCTGCAATTTGCTAGGCAAGAGGACAATGAACTACAACAGTGATGGTGGTATTATAGGGACTCCTGGCATGGCTTCTCGTCCTCTTGATTTTAGAACAATTGATCAGAGATTGGCAGTCAATGCCTATGGTGGAGTGCACAAGGCTTTCTATGAGGATGCATGTGAGGTATGTTTGTAAAGACTAAATATTGTTTTACTGCTTAGATTTAATTTCTTCATTGCCAGATTCCTTTGTTGGATTTAATTTGTCTTTACATTTCATTTTTCCATCTCTGATTTTGAATGGTAACTGTTTCCAATTAGAAATGTTTTCTACAATTGCCTGCATTGCTGATTCCACCTTAATGAGGCAGTTGAACTTCTTTTCTTATTTAGGACTTTCATACAGGAACTTGTGAAGAATATTGATAAAGATTAGGAGTTTTTTTAAATCTATACCAGGAAACTGATGGCATGTTGTTTTAAGCTGCTATAATATACATATAGAATACTTGTATAATCTTGTGATGGATCCTTGTTTCCGATAATTACTAGCTTATTCACTACCAATTCACTTTTTAAACTAACGTTTCTGTCATTTCCAGGTATGGAGCAATGTGTTTATTGCTTTTAAAGATCAACCAGATTTGCTTCAGTTAGCAGAGAGCTTAGCAAATAATTTTAAATCTTTGTATGACAAAAAAGTAAGTACTCTATTTCTTGCATATGTCTTTTCTTTTCTCTATCATTTCTCAAGTTCATGTTGCTTTACAGCCTGACAAAATGAAATAATATTTTCACTGAAAATTTTCTGTATTTGCTCTTTATAGATTAATGGTTTGGGAGAAAATGGTCTAACTGTAGCTGTCATTTTGTTAGATAAAGTTCAATTTAGAATAGCCTATATATTCATTTTTCATGATTGTAATTTGACGCAGGTTGCAACTCTATCCCAGAAGTTGGTAAATTGTCGCAAATTAAATTCTGTGGATGCTAGTTTACAGAAGGAGATAGAGAATATTCTCACTTGCAGCGAAATTCCAAAAGCCCCATGGGAAGATGGCGTTTGTAAAGTATGTGGTATTGACAATGATGATAAGAGTGTTCTATTGTGTGATGCTTGTGATGCAGAGTATCATACTTACTGCTTGAACCCCCCGCTTACTCGGATTCCCAGTGGAAATTGGTATTGCCCTTCATGTGTTACAAATAAGCAAATGGTTTCAGATGCATCCACTGAAACAGCAGTTGTCTGCCCACAGAAGAAAAAAGATCACAGCAAATTAACCCTTGCCTACATAGAAGCGGTGGCACATCTGGCAACTGTACTGGAAACAAAGGAGTATTGGGAGTTTAGTGTTGCTGAGGTAGGCCTCTTATTTCTTCAACTTACCTTGAACTTAGTTGTTAACTGTTTGGATAGTTTGAGCAAGATTCAAAAACCTTATTCAATTCTATGATTGCTTTTTTTTTTTTTTTTTTTTTTGGCAACTTCATTATCTTATCAATTATTTATTATACGTTTCTGCATTCTCTGAGCCCCTTCTCTAATTGCCTGCAGAGAACTAACCTGCTTAAGTTCCTATGTGATGAGCTTTTGAACTCAGCCCTCCTTCATGGGCACCTAGAACAATCTACGGAAGACTCTGTTGAGTTGCAACAGAAATGGCGTTCTCTTTTGAAGGAATTAAAAGTGTTGAAGTTAAGAGAAAATTTTCTAGCTAGAAAAGCTGATGAAGGCTCTCTTACAGTTGGTGAGCATGATGTTGAAGTGCAAGAATCTAATGAGACGGTTACAGGTAATGAAAAATGTAGTGGATATCTGCACACTTCGAGTCGTAGTGGAAACCATATCAGCGTTTCGAATGATGATGTGCCTTTGTCATCTGGGGATGGTCAGAAATGGGTTGATCCAAATGCATTCTTTAAACATTTGCCAGCTGATTGCTTAGAGAATAGTGATTCGGTTGACTGCCAATCTTTTGAACCTATGGATGCTGATGATGCAGAAGGTGTTTCTCCAATCGCTGGTGATGGTCAGCTAAATGAGAGTTCTTTCGTTAATACTACTTCCTCGTTTGGCCAAAATATGGATTTGCTTTCATATGAAGAAACAAAAGGCCTGAAAGGAGAAGCCACCTATGAAGATAACTTTGAAAAGCACACTGGAAGAAATATGAATATTCGTAATTCTGAGGGCGTAGATGGACATGATGCTTCAGTAGACAAGGCTGCCACCGATCTTAATGCTCATTTGTTCACCACAAGCACGGGCACTGTGAGAGATGAGATTTTACTCATGCAAAACTCCATTACCAGTTTACAGAAACAATTGCAGAAAGTGTCTTTGCGCAGTGAGTTTCTAGGCTTTGATTCTGCTGGAAGATTGTATTGGGTTGTACCAATGTCAGATGCTAAACCTTGCATAATTGTGAATGAGAATGTGGAACTGCATGAGGGAGAGAAAATAACTAGTGGTTCAAATGCTTCACCTCCTTTCTGGTGCAAGGCTTATGACGGCAACTCAGTTCAGTCTTGTTGGATTTCTTATGGATCTGACTCTGAAATTCAATTGCTTTTAGAGTTTCTGAAAGACAATGATCCACTGGAAACACAATTGAAACAGTCCATTTTGCATTGGCAGAAACAAAGATATAATCTTCTTCCTCAATTGTCTGAGTTAAGCTTGCCCCATGAAGTCTTAGATGCTAATCTTGCAACTAGAGCTACCAGCCTCGTATTGGAGGCGAAGTACGGTTCTTCCATTGAGGCAGAAGCCACAGAATTCTTCAAGAAGCAGGAAAAAGGAGGAGGCATTGCATTTGTAAGAGATGGAATAATCTACAGATGTAAATGCTTAGAACCAATCTTCTCATTTAAACGCCATTACAAGTATTGCCACCAAACGTTGTCTCATGTGCAGGATACGTGCATAGGGCGTGAGAAGCCGGTTGAGATTGATAATACTACTTCCAAACAGAAAGGTATGGTTAAACTAACATCTAAGGATGAATACAAAGGTGAAGTTGGGAGTGTTGATCAACCTGGAAGTGATTATTCCAAAGTGAATTCGCAGTCTCAAAGTGATGGATTAGAGTGTCCATTTAATCTGGAAGATATCTGCTCCAAGTTTGTAATTAAAGAGACCATGAAGGAAGAGGCACAACAGATAGGTCTTCTAGGCTCCTCCTCCAATGGACTTCCAACTTTTGTTCCATCCCTTCCTCCTTATCTAACTGATCCTGCTTCAATGCTACTATTACAAGTTCAAGACCATACTTCCTCCCTTGATCACAGTGCAGATACACTCAACTCTTCTTCAAACCATGCACCACCTACTGTGCACGATGCTTCTCAAAATCTCCCAACGACAAATGCTTTGGAAGAGCGTGACACATTGAAACATGATAGCTGCTTGGAACATCCTCTCGTGCCACAGTCTGCTTTAAAGCCTCTGGTAGGCGAAGCTTCTCGTATCTTGAGGCGGCTGAAAATTAATTTACTGGACATGGATGCTGCACTTCCTGAACAAGCTCTGAGGCCATCCATGTCACAAATCGAAAGGAGATTGGCCTGGCGTGCATTCGTTAAATCTGCTGAGACGATATATCAGGTCAGTATAAATGTATAATAATGAGTTGTCTTGTATTTCTGCCACATTCTCAAATCTGGTTTCCTATTGTGCAACCTTTTTTTCTCATGGACATTGAAATACAAGAAGTATCTTCATTCTCCAGATTATCTTCACCTGTGAATTTAACAAATTTGCATTATTGATCAGATGGTTCAGGCACTGATTGTGTTTGAAGAAATGGTGAAATCGGATTACCTAAGCAATACGTGGTGGTACTGTTCATCAGTCTCAGGAGCTGCCAAGATGTGTACCTTATCTTCTCTTGCTCTGCGTATCTACTCCTTGGATGCAGCCATCAAATATGAGGCTATAGAAAAGACTAAAGTAGGCGGCAGGAAAGTAAGCAAGAAAGCTTCTTCCAATTTTGCTCAATGAAGAAGAAGAAGAAGGTGATCAGAATGCTGCCTTCTTCAAGCTTTGATTTTGTCTCCTCCTCCACACACACTTTTTCTTTTCTGGAAGGACTGAGAAGAATGCTAACAGGATAATACATACTCTTTTAAGACATAGAATTTTTCTCCTTTTCTTCATATTCTTATTCTTATTTCATGCGTTCCTCCTTTCATTTGTTAAAATAACTATAAAATATTTTCAGCATCAACTGATTTTTAAGAAAGAGAAAAAACATGTTGCACATTATCCGTTTAGTGTGTATGTGCACGTTAGGTGCAACCGTGGTGCACGTTGTGTGCACGTTAGGTGCAATCGTGGTGCACATTGTGTGCACCACGGTTGCAAAACGGCGCCATTCCATTTTAAAAAAATTCGTTCGAATTGTCGTTAACAGCGTTAGGCGGTTTCTTTTCGTATTCAAATAGTAGGATATATCCATAAATTTATAACTATATATTCATAATTTGATAACAGTACATTCAAAAATTAATAATTACACATTCATAATTGACCTTATCGATTTTGAATCTATACTTCATTCATTTTGGATATATAGTTAATTCATTCTGGATATATAGTTCATTTATTCTGGATATATAGTTAATTCATTCGGGATATATAGTTTATTTATTCTGGATATATAGTCAATTTATTCTGGATATATAATTCATTCTGGATATATAGTTCATTAATTGTGGATATATAATTCAAATTATGCACGGCATAACACCGTTAACGGCAACCAAAATTTTTTTTTTTTTTTTTTTTTTTTAAGTTGGACGCGTAATTTTTAATCAAAACGACACCGTTTTGCAACCGTGTGCACCATACATGGTGCACACGGTTGTACGTCATAATTTGCGCATTAGGTGGAAGTGGATTATGTTTGAAACTTAAATCAAGGTCGCGAATAGTCTTAAATGAGAGATCTCAGGTTTGAACCTCAGTTTGAAACATTGATTCTTTGTATTTCTGTAAATTGAGAAAGTATGTATGAAAAGATATTACATTGTAATATAGTCAATAACATTAAAAAAAAAAAAATACCTATAGTATTTTCTTGATTTTGTTCGTTTCAACTGCTTTCTTTTTCAGATGTTCTCTATCCTCTTAAGTTTAATACCTATAGTATTTTTGTTGGAATTCCTATGTGAAAAAAATTATACATTTACTAAAAGAAACTATTTATATATAAACAAAATTAAGAAAAAGGATTAAAAAAACGAAAATAGAAAATGAAAAATTGAGAATGTAAAAGATGATCTTATCCTGAGCGTGAACGTGAGGTTGACCTGAATTCCAAGGCCTCTCTTATCCCAAATCCTAAATCCTAATATCCTCTGTAGTCTGTACTATTCTTTCCATATTATTGTCTCTTCAATTGGATTTTTTCCATTCTTTTTCTAGAAGCTCCTCTCCTTCCAATTCAATGGCGGCCTTCATTTCATGCCACCATAACTATTCTTCCTCACTAGCACCTCCCACTTTCAAATCCACAAAGCGTAATCCCATTTCTGCTCCTTCTACGCTATATGCTCAATGCTGTGCTCCGCATTTCCCTTCACTCTGTTCTTCGCAGATTTCACCTCCTCCAGGATTTCGGCTCACTGATCATAATCAGGCAAGTTCGCTTTTGTATTTCTGTTCTTTGCTTCCTTGTGTGATTTTAATTAATTAAGTAGTCGAAGTTTGAAATTTCTTGCTGCTTGGTATAATGCATACGAATGGATGTATGGTGATGGAGATCTTGTAATGTAATGGATACAGAAAGACGAGGTATGTTCATCGTTGAAGAAGTGCGCGATTTCTGTTATGCTAGCTGTAGGGTTGTTAAGTGGAGTGGCGGGGCAAGCCAATGCGAGCAATCCAGCATTGCCAGATGTGTCGGTGTTGATCTCTGGACCTCCGATTAAGGATCCGGGGGCCTTGTTGAGATACGCATTACCTATTGACAACAAGGCTATAAGAGAGGTTCAAAAGCCTCTTGAAGACATTTCCGAGAGTCTCAAGCTTGCTGGTGTCAAGGCGATTGATTCTGCAGAAAGAGTAATTATTATATCCCATTCCCATTCTGTTGAAAGAGCAGCTATTCAGTTTTAGAATATATTCAATAATATTGATGGGGATTTTCCTGTTTGTTATGAGCTGTAGAATGTAAGACAGGCATCCCGGGCCCTCAAGCAGGGGAAGGCTGCTGTTATCTCAGGGTTGGCCAAGTCAAAGGTTGAGCATGGGACTGAATTGCTTAACAAACTCGAAGCTGGGTTGGATGAGTTTCAACAAATTCTTGAGGATAAGAACCGGGATGCGGTTGCACCTAAACAGAAGGAGTTGCTTAACTATGTTGGAGGGTAAGTGTAGAAAGAGGTCAATTCATTATCTACTATTTATTGATTCAAGTGCCTTGGTAACATCTTCTAAAAATCAAATTTCTGCATCTCTATGTTGCTTTTCACAATTCATAAGCAAAGCTAAACAATCATGGATGACTCATTCTGTTGCATGACCCACATTTTCTTAGGTCATAGAGGCCCTCTATACTCTATAGAATAACAAAAAAAATCAAGGATTGTCTTTCCCGCATTGTAGAGCTGTTTGCACATACCATGCTTCACAACTCTCAGATCAACTTATGAGATGAGCTTTTGTCGTTACAAGGAACCTTAAGCTTGAGGGAGTGATGCTGCTTTCGTTTGTGTTAACCAAATATTGTGTTGCTGATAAAGATAGAGTAGAGGACACCTCGGCAAAACTAATCTTCCTAAAATATGCCATTCTCATTGACTGCAGCTGAGATCTTCCTGGCGCATTGGATTTCTGCAGTGTTGAAGAAGATATGGTGGATGGCTTCCCATATGAGGTGCCTGAAGAGTACCAAAGTATGCCATTGCTGAAGGGAAGAGCAACAGTTGACATGAAGGTCAAAGTGAAGGACAACCCGAATCTTGATGAATGTGTTTTTCGCATTGTTCTAGATGGCTATAATGCTCCAGTTACTGCTGGAAATTTTGTGGATTTGGTTGAAAGGCATTTCTATGATGGCATGGAGATTCAAAGAGGTATAACAAGTAACAAAATATTAGATGCCTTTTTTTTTTTTTTCCTTAATTGGAAATCACTAATTAGTTACACTGGATTTTCTGTAGCCGATGGCTTTGTGGTACAAACTGGCGATCCTGAAGGTCCTGCAGAAGGTTTTATTGACCCCAGTACAGAGAAAACACGGACTGTACCTCTTGAAATTATGGTGGATGGGGAGAAAGCACCAGTTTATGGAGACACCTTAGAAGTAAGTTTGTGGTTTTATGACTTGATTTACATGTAAAAATGTGATTTGATATTGACTTGTGTGCCTTTCTAGGAGCTTGGTCTATTTAAGGCCCAAACGAGGCTTCCGTTTAATGCTTTTGGGACAATGGCCATGGCTAGAGATGTGAGTTATATATTGTCTCAACTATCGCAACATGTAGCAAGCATCTATCATTTTTTTCCTGATGCTCGAATCTTTTGATTGTGATGAAAACAGGAATTTGAGAATAATTCTGGCTCGAGTCAAGTATTTTGGCTATTGAAAGAAAGTGAGCTAACTCCTAGCAATGCCAATATATTGGATGGTCGCTATGCGGTGTTTGGATACGTGACAGAAAATGAGGACTTGTTGGCAGATCTCAAGGTCGGCGATGTTATTGAATCTGTGGAAGTAGTATCTGGCTTAGACAATCTTGTCAACCCAACCTATAAGATTGTTGGTTAAGAGTAATATTGAAATTGGACTAGGGGTGTTATATGACAAGTTTGAAACAAGTGATTTGTCTTTTATATTAAGCCATTTCATTCTCTTGTTATGTGTAAGAATACTTTTCAGCGGAGTAAAGAACTAAAGAATGTCATCACATAACAATTATAGAGATTAGTACTACTGAGCACTCAATTCTTTCTTTACTTTGCTGTGCCATCTAATCATCTATGTAGTAAATGAGGTTCTCATTTCATGTCCAAAATAAAGAGCCAAACCGCTCTAGCAGTACCAAATTTCTAGTCGTTTCAAGCCTTGTCCCTTCAATTTTACAAAATTCAATTCAAAAGCTCAAGACAAGCCTTTTCACATATATATAATAACTTACTCTGATACTAAATGTTAGATATATCTAGTCTAACAATTAACTGCATAAATACGAGGAACCTAACCTCGTAATAGCAGAAGCAAAATCAGTATATATATGCATCGTAGCAAAACTATATAACTGCCTGATTTATAAACACAGCACAGGGCGTGGAGATGGGTAGGGGTGACTATACTACATTGTCTAGAAGGCGACGACGCTTTTTCTTCTCGGGTGTGGGATGAACTTGTGCTTTGATTCCGTAGATCTTCAGCTGGAAATTCTCAAATGCCTCGGAAACAATCCCGACCTACAAAATGTTGCAGTAATGCAAGTACTTCAGAACAAGCTAGTGCAAAGAAATTACGTAAAGAAATGCGATGAGATATTCCTGTACAGACCAGTTCTGGCTTTTTGGAGTACACTCGCACTATCATATCCTGATATGATGATGGCAGCAAGTGGCTGATTCGATCATCTGGTATCAAGAACTTCTCCTCGCTTTCATAGTCCTGAATATATATAACCAAAGCAGTTGTGAAGAAGAATGCAAGGGAGTAAGTATAAGATTGGAAATTCTAAAAGGAAAGTTCTCAGACATCCACATACCTTGAAAAAGTTGATGCTGGTACAGCAAACACATGCAGAGAAAAGTAAAATGAAATTATACAAAAAGAACAGTGGCATATTATTATAGCATTCAAGTATGCTCATGAGAGGATGAAGTAATTTAAAAAACAGATTCACCATTTAGTTTTTCACTAACCTTTCAAGTGGATTGTGTTTTCCACGGGTCAAATCTATCCTAACATTGCTCACAACAACATCATCCTCGTCAAGTTTCTTCCCGCCACCTACCTGAAAGTGCAATACAACAAATTCTTAAAATACTTCCTGTAGGAAATCAAACTAGTCAATTAGAGAAGCTGTTAATTTCCTACCATTACTGTATGTATTTGAGACGTTAATGTCCTAGAATCTTGATTGATTTCCTAGGTAAAATATTTTCTGTAGTTGATTATGATTTTGTACCATAATTACCTAGAGTAGTCCTATTTTATATGGAGTAAGAGTTAATTTAGGATCTTCTTCCCTATCCTCATGTATATATATGTACTCCTTTGTAGTCAATAATATGATCAGAAATTCTCACAAATATCTTAGCAACACTTCCTGCAGGCAACCAATAAATGAAAAGTGCATTTAGTACCTGGGAACAAATGATATCTTTTGCAGTGACATCTTTGAAATGTTCCATTTTGTCTTTAGGAACAGCATATTCATTACAAAACTGTCATATTGAAGAATCAAGACTGGTTAGGCTCCAACTTTGGGAAATGGGAATAGGATTTGAGGTTACATTATTAATATCACAAACTCTATTGAAATGGAAATACTACTACTCATATATATAAGCTTAACTATAACTAATCAAAAGACCAATGATCTGAAGCTTAAATTACCTGGTACAAATTCCTCCTTCGAATGCGACTGATCAATTCCCTAGATTCCTTTAACTCCGGGTCTGGAGCTGTCTCAATGGTTTTTATTATCGAGTCATCTAACTATATCCATGTGTGAAGAAAAGTAAGATTACCAATGGCATAAGTCGAATTTAAACCATAAATAAAGAGCTCACCAACCTTCCAATATTCAGAAGGATCCTGTATATAAGATGCAATATGCAAATAACCATTTGCTTTGACTAGTGCTTCTACAACCATAAGCTCTATTGCCTGAATATTTGTGGCAACAAACAATTAGGATGCCTTGAAACATCAGTCTTAAATGCGGGTTTAAATAGAAAATCAACAATTTGGATTTATTGTTCCATGAAAAAACGAATAACAACTCTCCATACCTTCACTTTGGCATGAGTATAAACAGTTCTATACAGATCGGCTCGGGTTGCAAATAACTTGTGGATGGTTAAATCTGGAAGTTCATGGAGTATGCAAAAATAAGAATGATAACCAAACACACTACTACACACTAATTTTTTGTTGAAAAAATTACTAACAATCTTTGGCACGATAGCATATTTCATCTCCCAGCACTCTCATTGTCTCCATCAACCTGAAATGATGAAGAAAGAAAAACATAAGTCATACTTTTCCTTCTTTCACACACCTATCTATAAGAAGATATTAAAAGACCTTTGAAACTGGAAATTGCATCCTAGACCACATGCTCGGCTGTCACGAACAATGTAGTCAAACCTGAAAGCCAAACAGATATCTTACGAATCACATGCCAACAATAAAAAATAAAAAAAGTGACTGAAGTAAAAGAGAGAAAAAAAAAAAAAAAGAGTATGAAGACCAATCTAGTTTTCAATGTTGACTCACTTGTCAACATCAATTCCATTTCTGCCATTTGCTACAATATCATACAAAAACAGTTTCTCTCTGGAAGTCTACATAGAAGAACAAGAACAGAATCAAGCATACTTGGTGCATTCATTTCAAAATAAAATATTGATCAAATTTAAATGCAAAATGAAAAAGAAAAAAAAAATCATTCATTTTCCCTAATTGTGGTAGGGGCAGATAACATACTTTCGGCAAAGCATATTTGGAACTGTCAAGTATGAATTCCTGTCAAATAAGATTGCAGTTAATAGAACAAAAGGAACAAATTGAATCTCAAAATTGAAATACTAGTATATTGCAAATTATAAGGAGCAAATTGAAGTCAAAACATATATCATACCTCAACTCTTTTTATGGTTTCAGAGTCAATATCAATATGGTGCTCATCAACAATGTGATCTATCATCCTCGTTGACATTTGTTCATGACACCTAGAATGAGTATAGCACAAGATAAGATGCCATTGTTATGAAAAGACCATAATATTGGATGACTATCATTATTTGTGGAAGAACTTTCAAATCATTCCGTAAACTTCCATTTCGTGTAGAAATTTATGTCTTCATGAAAAGGACAGGTAAGGAAAACATAAATTTTCAGGAGAGATGCAATGAGAAGCAGAAAAACTGGCATGAAGGAAGCTACATGTACTTCAAAGCCACATCCTTTATTTTGTCAAAATGAAGAAAACTAAGACTCATCATAATTAAATAAATGCATAAAGAACAAAAAGAAATGCAAGCAGCACTTACAAATTCCCAGTACATATTTACTGTGTATGGCAATCACTTCAATATTATTATAAAAAGAAAGGGGGCTTCCTTCCAATAAGACAGATTAAAGATGCCTCAATCTTATAGGAACAGGAAATATCCTCCAAGCCCTCAACCTCAAGGAGTTGGGGATTCTATAAAACAGAGAAGAATATCTATTTGCATATTTTCTATAAAGGGCATCACCCTAATAACAATGCAACAAAAATCCCTCTTCAATGATTTTTTATTTTTATTTTTATAAAAAATAAAAAGTCTTCCAGAAGTGATTCTTCCTTGAACTGCATGATCAGAGAGAAATCTATGCTCCAATAGGAATGTACCCTCTACCATGCAACATTTGCAATTCAAGAGGTGGGTTACACCTTGAATATTAGAAATGGCAATTAAAGGTATGGTTTCTAATGTAAATTGTAGCTGTATGACCAAGGACATGGAAATAATGCAAAACATTAGTGGCAAGAGCATTTTCCATTCTGCACAAACATAGAAGTTATTAAAAGTAAATATACTCAAAATATGAGAATATGAGTGCAACTGAAGGAATTACCACTCTGAGCCACTAGTAACCATAGGAAGAAACTCCCGCTCAAACAAATGACTAAAAGGCCCATGGCCTATATCATGCAGGAGACCTAGTTAATGTAATAATATTAGAAAGAAAGCATCAGTAATGCTAGAAATATATGAACATGATCCATGTAGAAGCATGGGCCATAGAGAATCACTTGCCTGCAAGTTTCACTGTTTTTACATCAAAATCATCGATGTCAAGCTCCAATCCCTAAAAAAGAATGAGTTATAGCAGAACCATTGTATTCTCTCTCTCTCTCTCTCTCTCTCTCTCTCTCTATATATATATATATATATATATATATTGGATGACGAGGGAACAATGAATGAATATCTTGATTTCATACTTGGTGGCTTTTAAGCTTATGAATAGCTTCACCAGCTAGCCAATAAACTCCAAGGGAGTGTTCAAATCTTGAATGCACTGCTCCTGGATAAACCATGTTTGCCAAACCTAAGAGATTGCCAGAAACTTTATATATCAGTAAATAGGTCATGCATTAGGTAACAGACAACAAAATGCTAGACATAATTCTTTTAAGCCAATGCTAAGTCCAATGATAGAACTTGCATACAAGGAATCTAAAGTTCACAAGAGTCAAACTTCTGCTTGAACCATTGGAAACTGAAACAAGAAATTTAAAGATGCAACCATAAATGAAATGTTCATTCAATCATAGAAGATATCCAAAATCCCAGAAGTCCAGCAATAGTAGCAATCCAACCATAAAAATACCAATAACAGTTGCCAACAGAGCACGAGTAACAGAAGATCATAAATTTACCTAATTGTTTAAGATCGCGGAGCCTGAAAGGAAAAAAAAATAAAATCCATCATTACTGGGATATGCCAGAGAGAGAGAGAGAGAGAAGCATTAAATATAATCCAAGCCCTGCAGAAAGACCTTAGTGAGTGCGGCATTAATACCAGTTATTAGTGTATATGACAAAGAACTTGCCTCTGGAATTGCTCTGTATCAACGAACTTCAGAAGGAGCTGTCAGAAGATTAACTGTTAATAATCAATATTAACTATTGTAATTGCATATAATAGTAGTAGTAATAATAGTAATGAAATGCATATGGGCAAACTGACAGAAGCTAATGCTGAAAAATTATAGAATTAAACAGAAACAGAATTCAGAAAGAATAAACAGTACAAATCTAAGTTCCTTGCTATAACCAAGTCGAGCATCTAGAATTGATGCCGATGCACAACCAAAGCTTAACCCGAGACCACGAAAAAGTAGCTGTCTTCCTGAGTGATAATTCATGCATTCACGAGAGATGAACTCAAAATAATTGTAGAAAACATCACAAGTCTGTAATTCATATTCCATGCATGGCAACAAAATGCTGTAATATTTTAAGTTCAATCTTTCTACTATAGTCTTTCAATCATTGACTATCTTTGATGACAGAAATTTAACAATCATTATCATAACTAATCACTATACTCAGTTATTCCATAGTTCTCGAATAGCAGTCAACCAACCTAACTCACACAAGTCAAAAATATCAGTATCCCCAAAAGTTGTATGAAACAGAAATACTGACTCTATTTGCGCGCCAGTTCATTCAAGCACGAACAACAGTTGAAAGGTTAACCATGTAGAGAGCAAGATTTAGTTACCGGATCAATGTAGATGTTGCCATGAACGTTATCATGGATTTGTTTCGAATATCGCAGATCTCGAGAAGGTGTGAAGTTGTAAGTCGGAAGGAAAGTGAAATCGTCGTTGCAGAAGGCTCCCATCCTCTTACAGCTGACACTACGGTCCTCCAAACCTACACAAGTGCGCAACCGTATAAAGCACGTACAGCCGCATACACATAAGTAGAATACCACCAAAAATCCAAAAAAATAGGTGCTGAATGAAATTGAACGGCGGAAATGGCGGAATTATAGGGGGAGAACGCGTTGCCTACCGTCTGCGACGCCGGAGAGAGGGAGAGGGAAGTGTTAACCTGCCGGAAAATGGGAATGATCGTGGAGCAGTGCCAGTACAGCTGTAGGCTGTAGCTGGCTTAAAATAGTGCGGCAAGCAAAACGTGTCCGGTTTATTGGGAGAATGAGAATATGAGATTACCGGCACAGTTCCGGATATGGCCGTTTATGGCGGAGCACGCTGTTTCCTGCCTTTTCAGGATTAATGAACATGGGCTTTTGGGGCTTTTATAAATTTCAGCCCGGCCCAAAAGTTATGAAGCTCCAGTCTTCATATCATATCATATCATATAAAGATAAAGAAGAAGGGATAAATTGCAGGACAAACGTCGACCACATGTAACACCATGGGGGTGGTGGCGGCACAGTCTTCTTCTCTTCGACCACTCCAACTCCATACTCGCAGCATCACCTGCAATTCCTTCTCACCGCGGCGGCGGCGGCTCTACAGATTGCGGATTGCTAGGCCTTCAACAGGCTCCAATGCCGTCGCATTCCAGGTTAAGGCGTACATGGACGAGAGCAACTCCATTTCCGGCTTTGCTAACAAAGTTATCGGTTCACTCCCGGTGATCGGACTCCTTGCCAGAATCGCCAGCAACGAGGGAGGCGTCGGCGGCGATATAATCGATTTTGCTGAGTTCAGAAGGAGAGTAGGAAACAAGTGTTCCGTTAATGATTCCAGAGCTTTTTATGATTTTCAAGATCGGAGAGGCCGGGTAAATCCTCTTTTTTTGATAAATTCCATCATCTTCATCAATTTTTTTTGTTATTTCAGTTACTGAATAGTACTCTAAGCCCAATTCCTTTTTGTATGGTAGTCAGGGGATCCTCTTTACGTTTTATTATGCTGCTGGCTAGCGGCGCTCGGTGCCGGTCTCCTGAAATCCGAGGAGATACTAGAGGGAGTTGCAAGGCTTCGAATATCAAACGATATTGAGCTGGAAGAGCAAAATTTCATGGCGATGATGAATGAAGCCAGAGAGGTTAGTATGTAGAGGTTTATACATATATTCCAGATCTTATTCAATTCACTAAAATACTAATAAAGCATTACATTGGGTGAACCACTTTCAGAAGCGAGCGAAACTGAGAGCTCCGGTGCCGAGCATACCTATAGAAATCCGAGCTGAGAAAGCTCTGGACGCCATTTATGTGTGTTGCTACGGCCAGGATCCTATGGAAGAAGAAGATCAACGGCTGCTGTGCATCCTGCTCGGCGCTGTTTTTCCTACAGTGAGCAAGGCAGAGGTTGATCGGATTGTGAAAGAGAAGGCAAAGCGAATCGCAGACGGGACGGACGAACTCCAATTCCCAATGCCTAAGCCACTATCAAAAGAAGCTGTGCAGGCGCAGTTGAAGGATTTGGAGTTTCTTAAGCAACAACGGCAGATATAACAAGCTATGATCTCAATGTAATTTCCTATGATACCATTAAAATGTAACAGAGATTTATTCATCACGAAAGTACGAAACACACAAACACAACTGCTTTTGATAGCAAAACCTAAACTTCTTAAAATGATCGATTTATTACACTTGTATTGCTAGACACTCGATCAATACTCCAAGCACATACAATGCTGGGAAGTAATAGAAGCCATTTATCTGTACTGGCTTGCCAGTTTTCCATCCTTGACAATGTAGTTTTGTGCAGGAAACTCTTCGCCCTTAAAGTACTTGTCCAGCATGTCCTTAACTCCCGCAGCATAGCGCAACTGCAAGTTGCATAGAAGTGTTAAATAAGGCTAAGAAAATTGCAGTAAGTTGCATCAAAAGCTAAGAAGATTGCAGATTTGATACCTGTCCGTCAATGGTAGTTCCAGAAATATGAGGGGTCATTGCTTGGTTTGGCATATATCTCCATGGGTGATCCTTGGGAGCTGGCTGTGGGTTCCAAACATCGCCACTGTAACCTATGGTGAACAAAAAACATTGGATTAACCAAATGAGACCCAACTAAAGAGTAGCTATTTGGGTCGAGTCCAGACAAGTTGATTTAATAACTATAAGGTTACAAGTTTCACTTCTAATGAGAGTGACTTGTTGGTCTTTTTGGTTTAAGCCGATCAGCTATGGGCAACTTAAGTGTTGTTATTGCATGCGTAAAGTTTGAGTTAGTGAGTTACCAGCAATGTGGCCACTGGAACAGGCATCCACAACTGCTTGAGTGTCCATGATTGCTCCCCGGGCGTTGTTCACTATAAGAACTCCCTTCTTCATCTTTGCAATTTGATGTTTGTCGAACATCCCTCTAAATCACAAATGAAAAGCATGATACACACCATACTTGAGTTTGTAAAGGCAAGAGACAAATATAAGATGAGACAAATTAGAGTTACCTGGTTTTATCAGTGAGAGGCATGTTGATGACAACTACGTCACATTTTGACAGCATGGCGTCAAGATCTTCCTCAAAATTTGCACCTATTTCCTTCTCCAACTCCGGGTCCATCTTGAGGCGATCATGATACAACAGACTACACTTAAACGGTTTCAGCCTCTGCAGCAGAAGCCGTCCAATACGACCTGCACCAACTGTTCCAACGGTTTTCCCTTCCAGATCATAAGCTCTATATGCAATACGCGCAACATCCCACTCCCCGTTGATGACCTGCTGGTGTGCCGGAACAAAATTCCGGGCAAGAATTAGGATACGCATAAGTTCATCCTCTGCAACCGAAACAACGTTGCTCCCGGTGACCTCCGCCACCGTCAATCCAGCGGCGGCGGCCGCATTGAGATCTATATGATCTGAACCAATTCCAGCAGTCAGTAACAGCTGCAAATTCTTTGCCTTCTTGATCCTTTCGGCCGTGACGTAGGCCGGATGGAAGGGAGTGGTTATCAACACGTGGAGATCAGGGATGTGCTCCTCAAGCTCTGCAAATGGGGACACCATTATCATCTATTCATCTCCATAAGTCATTCACTCATTATTGCTTGTATGTATCATAAGACAAAGATAATCATTAGCGTACCACAATCTGGTCCGTCTTTGTCAGGAGTAACGATGTACTGATGCCCCTTTGATTCCAGCCATTCACGGATCCCCAAAGCATTCTCAGCGCAGCCCAGGAATTTGGGATTCAGGGAAGCATATTCATTCGCTTTATAGAACACACCCACAATCTTTTTGCTCCCTGGAGAAGCCTGTTTGTACATACCCAAGAAATACAATGAAAAATAACCGAAAAAAATAAAAAAGAAGGGATTTTTAAAGGGTCAAAAATAAGAAGCTTACATGAAGTTGTCTGGTGAAATGCAAGGAGTTGGCGTGGGAGGTAAAAGCCCGAATTGCAGATTCAGTAGCACGCCTCATAGCCATATCTCTGCCTCTTTTACGTACTTTAGACTTATGTTTCTCACTTGCTTACTACGTTGCGACTTGAGACCGTGAACATATTTATAGCATGCAATCACATACAGGCAAAGTTTCAGTTTTCATTCACGTGTTTGGCTGGCTTTAATCACATTCAATATTGTGAACTATTAAGGAGGCTTCTCAGGAGGTTTAAGTCCATTTTACTTGTTGTACTATACCACATGATTGATCATTTTATTTGGTCACTCTATTCTCTGCACAGTCCTTGTCGGAGAATTATTCATGGACTACTTGCGACCGCACTGTTAACTAACTTAATTGAGATTTTTATTTTATTTTTTAATTTAAAAAATGTGTAATCACTATTTAGGTAACAACTTAACTAACTTAATTGAGATTTTTATTTTATTTTTTAATTTAAAAAATGTGTAATCGCTATTTAGGTATCCAAATCTACAGTATAATTACTGTTATTTGCACACTCGTTGGCAAATCATAATTAAAGTTATAATTTATTAAATTACAACTATATGTTATATTAAAATAAAAAAGTATTAATATAAACTTTTAATTTTTGAAAATAGAAATTATTTTAGTGTAAAAATAAAATTTGATGTAAATGGATTAGAGATGAAAAAGAATTGGTATAAAAATATGCTAAGAATTTTTATTTTTATTTTGTGTGTAAAATTTAGTCCGTTTTGGATTAGAGATGGTCTGAGAGCATCCATAATAGTTGGGGATATTTTGTGATTTTTGAAAATTTTTTGTAAGTGTGATTAAGAAATAGAATATGAGGGGAGAGAAAAAAAAATAAACAAAACTATTATAAAAAATATATATATATATATAAATAAATGTTACTTGTCAAGCGCGCTGACAACTCGTCTAATGCGCCGCTGAGCACACTTCTGAAGCTCACGTAGCAAGTTGGGTGGCTGAGTTATTTTGATGTGGGACACCTACTTTGCTGCAATAACTCTATCATTTACCGTTAACATGACATGCTTTTTCTCAAAAAAAAACTGTGTATAATTCACTGGTTTGGAGGGCCTAAGTGATCTGATGCCTCACCAGACCTTCACATGAGTGCTGTGTTTACAATAATTCACCTTATGGGCAAATGGCAATGTCATGATGATTGATGTGTCGTGGGGAATTTCTATTTTGACGACTATTTTTTGTCTATATTATGCGCAAATAGAAAACCAATTTTAATTTTCCTTCCAGCGAACTGTAGCAGACGGCATGGTGATGGGCAAATTATGCGGTGGAACCGTGTCCACCTTACATAAAATTATTCATAATTATGAATATATAGTTTAAAAATTATGAACATATAATTCTATAATTATAAATATAGAGTTGTAAACATAATTATTCATATATAGTTCTGTAATTATGAATATAGAGATTCAATAATTGTGAATATGAAGTTCAAAAATTATGAATATATAACTTTAAAATTATGAACATATAGTTCAATAATTATGAACATAGAGTTCTGTAATTGTGAATTCAATAATTATGAATATGAAGGTCAAAAATTACGAATATATATAATTATGAATATATAGTTCAGTAATTATAAATATAGAACCGTGTCTACCTTGCAAGGTGGACACAATTCCACGACAAATTATATCATGCACCAGGGTGGGTCCTTTTAAGTAGATGACTCGTCGGGCGGTCGGAGCGGGACTTCTTTAGGAAAAAGAACTTGAATAACTTAGTTTTTCTGACAGAGTCGTCATTTTTTATCAGGAACGTCTATGAACAAAGAACAAAAAAATTCATAAAATCTCGTTCTAAATTCCTGGAGTGTGGGAATGCGTTTTAAGAAAACAAGTTCCATTTGGGAGGAGTAAGCGCTCTTAGCCTAGGAAGACGAGGGTGCTCCCTACCTGCCAGCTAAGGATGGAGAGGGTGGGCGAAGCGTTTTAAAGTGTATGTGTATTAGGAGTTATGTATATTTTACTATACGATTATGTACATGCAAAATATAGGATTTTTAGAACGCACAATGCATTGTGCGCCCTGGTGCACGATATAACAATTGCGGTTCCACAGCATAAACGATTGATTGTGATGATATTGGGCCTCCATATTTAATACATGGCCCAAATTCCTTCAAAATTGGGCTTCTATTAATTTTATGAGAAAAATTGGGCTAGAGGAGCAGTCAAATTTTGGGCCAGCCTAGTTGGAAGTCAATGCCCGTCTTCTTGCCGAGACAGGAGTCAAAACCCACGCGCTCTGTCACTCTCAGAGTCTCAGGTGATAAACACTGCCAGATAGAGAATCCGCTACGGTTTAAAAGCCATCGTTATCGTCGACCGCCTATGCTGATATCATCAATTCTCTTTTAGCCATTACTTTGACTACTGCGGACCTTTGTTTGATGAACGTATGTTCTCGTAGAAGCCAAATGGAGCCCGACAAGCCAGAACCCGTTTCTCACCCGGTGCCCGGAAAACCAGAATCCATTTCTCCTTCGCTACCCGGAAAACCAGAATCCGTTTCTCATCCGGTACCTAAGCATACAGAAACGGGTTCTCACCTGGAGTTGGAAGAATCCGGCGAAGATACTGCTTCAGATTCTTCACAATCTAGCCCCAGGGAAAATGCTAGTAATCGCAAGGATGCTGCTAGCGGAGATGCGGTTGCTGATAAACCAGCTTCTCCGCCGGGAGGATCACCTCCGAGGTCGTCAATTTCATCCGGTGTAAGTAATTTAACACACGGATCGTCTCCGAGGGAAGAAAAGGCATCTATTTCTCCCCCTGCGCCAGTGGGCAAGGATCCGAAGCCGGAGGTGGAGGTGAAGAAGTCCGTAAGAAATGAATCTTTGGCCTTGGTCAAGGTGGATCATGCTGCCACAGATGTTGGCCGAGGCAGAGTCGGCGGCGGCGGCGGCGAGACACGGCGGAGGTTGCGGCAAAGGTTGTCGAGTTTGAAGATTTCCCGGAGAGAGAATACGGTGAAGAAAGCTGCCTTAGGTTTTAGGATTTTTGGTTTTCTGTTCTGTTTAGTTTCCTTCTCCGTCATGGTGGCTGATCGGAAACAGGGCTGGGCTATTGATTCTTTCCAGCGTTACAAGGAGTTCAGGTCTTTTTTACTTTGTTACTTTTCACTCTTTCTTTTTCTTTCTTACTTTTCTATTTTAATCTCGCTCATAGCCCACAGGGCATTCATGTTGTTCATTCTGGTTATAAAACACACATACTATGATACTAAGATCAATTTATAGTATTCCAATGTAGTACTGATAATAATGGAATGGAATTGGCAGGTACTCTCTGTCAGTGAATGCAATAGGATTTATGTATTCAGGAGCACAGGCAATTGATCTAATCTACCACTCTGCCACTGGAAACAACTTTTTCCGGCACCCATTGCGCCATTACTCAGATTTTGCAATTGATCAGGCAAGTTGATCCATCAAAAGTAGCTTTAACTGCTTTGTTTAATTTACGAAGTTTGAGTTTATTCGTTTCTACTGATATTAATGTTCCATATTTAGTATATTGATCATGATTAAAATTTAAAATATCACCTGGAAAAGAAAAGCCAGAAATGGATCATTTACTGATACATTACTCTAATCCCATGCGTAGACAGTAGGGCATTGTTGATGTGTCTTAGTGTTTACTCCTTAAAAGAGCCATGAGATTGGAACAATTTTATTCTTAAAGGATGGGCGGTCCTAAGTTTGGGTGAACCAGAAAGTGCTCGGGGAATGGGGACCAAAGAATTCCAGAATAACTTTTTGTTGCCTTTAAAAAAGAAAAAATCTTAGCTCCTGTTAATACTAACTAAACTACATTCAGCATTCTGTGTATTACATAAACTAGTTCTTATCCTGATCTCTTCTGTTGAGTGTTTGGAATTCAAAAAGTGATTCTTTTTCCCTTTTCTCTTTTTCGTTGCCTTTTAGTTCTTTTGTTTGAGGGGGTGTAAAAAAGAGACATTTTATCAATTTAACGAAAGCATGAGATTGTTCTCTCTGGCCTCTTTTGGTGTGTAGATGCAAAGGATCCAACATAAACCAAAGTGTTTTTCAGAGTTTAGCTTCTTTAACCAAAATGCTTTATTCCATTATGGTCTGTTAACCATAAACATCATTTGGTCTTATCCCTTAGCAGTGGGATGGTTCACTTAATTAGGTTTACCTCAAAAACTTACCACTGCTTGATTGAAATTTCAGGCGATAACGTACCTTCTGATATCAGCATCATCTTCAGCTGCTACCCGAGTTGATGATTGGCGGTTGAACTGGGGAAAGGATAAGTTCCCGGATATGGCGAGTGCAGCTGTGACAATGTCCTTCCTTGCATTTATTGCCATGGCTTTCAGTTCTCTCATTTCGGGCTATGCTCTTTGCACTTCCAAATCCATACACTCTTGAAGTCTTGATTACTTGGAATCTACTTGTGTGCTCTCAAGAAATATATATGTAAAATCCTTAGCTTCTAACTTGAACAAAATTGGGGTTATGATTTAATGAAGCTTAAATTTTGCTGTTTAATTTTACATTGTGCGTGTTATGATATATCCTGCGGTATACTATCCGGAGATGTAGTCCCGTAATCTCGAGAACCCTAAACCGGGTGAATAAATTTACTTTATCTGGCTAGCTAGGGTGAGGTTGGCAAGTGATGGTCAGGAGTGTATGAGGTAGTTCAAAGTCCAAAAGTCTCCTCTACTAATAATTAATGCGCCTTTTATAGGTGAGGTGTGGCGAACATGCCGATTACAAGTGTTGGATGGTCACAATTGCCGCGCCGAGTGTTTAAATACGGTTGAAAAGGTGATGAGATGTGATATAACTAGTCGTTTCATCAGGTGAATACTTTTGAGCTGAGGTAATTATGGAGGAAAAAGCTTGGTGACTGATCATGTTAATAGGTCCAATCGGCAGTGTTGTAAAAATCGACAATCTAGACACCCCTAAGCGTATTTTAGACTTTTGACCGATAAGGCGCCCTCAATGCCCAACTTGATTGAGTCGGCCCCTATTTAGTACCTAACTCGGCCAAGTCGGCCCACAACTCGACCAACCATAATCTGATAAAACCAGTAGAAGAAGAAAAGGCGTTGTCTCATCTCCCTTCCAACTTTCGAGTTCCATTACCGGTAGCACACCCTCACCGTCGCACAGCCACCGCACACTCCACAGCGTTGTCGCACAAGTTCACCGTCACAGCAGTGTAGCACAACCAAACTCCTTGTTGTCCGTACGTCATCGCCAGTGGCCAGCCCAAGCTCCTCGCCGTCGACAAAGCCATACCCCTCCAAGTATCACACTGTCTCCATGCATGTTTAATGAGAAAAGAAGCAAGACAAAGCAAAAATAATTTGAAAAGTGTGCCTAGATGACAGATGTCTCTTAATCATGTCATTTATTTATTTATTTATTTAGCGCGCTCGATTAATTAGCGCCCTTTGATAGGAATAGTACAGTTGGTGTGGCATGTAAGTATTTTCTCACGTATAATATAGTATAATCTGATGTATTATTAGGTGGTTGTGATGCAAGTAAATGATTAGATTTAGTCATCAATTAGGTAATTTAGGATATCCAGTTTGACTTTACCTGAGTATCTAACATGTAGGCTTCTAAGCAAAATCAGTCCTCCCACAACTCCTGTATTACAGGCACTAGTATTCAAAAGAGAAGTGGTACGGTAGACATAACAGGTTTACCATCCCAACAAGAAATTCCAACAATTATATATGACGAGGAATATTTAGATAATCCTAAAGCTTCCGTTGAACTCCTGTATTACAGGCACTAGTATTCAAAAGAGAAGTGGTACGGTAGACATAACAGGTTTACCATCCCAACAAGAAATTCCAACAATTATATATGACGAGGAATATTTAGATAATCCTAAAGCTTCCGTTGTTAACAGTCAGTTCATAATAGTATCTGATGGTTTTATTGGGACCGGGTCCACCATAAACCGGGTATAGGAACATAGGACGGGGGGTAGGGCGCTAGGCCCAGAACAATGCGTACAAAAGCCCGAGGTACAAGCCCAGAATGGCAGCCGAATTACAAAGAACAAGGCCCACAGGATGGGCTATAGCGAACTATGCTACTGGTAGGAATCGAACCCAGGTGACTGGATTGAGAGTACAAGACCAAAACCACTAGACTGTAGTGCTTATCGTGTCTGAGTTGCCCCTTAGCCAAAGATCCAGGGCCCCTATTTATAGCAAGCCCCCCTCCTCCTCTGGCGTCCGCGTGTCCCATGTTGCTCCTTGCCACTCCGCTTGTTTGTCGCCATGCATGTCACGCCGCCACTATCCCCGCGACTCCCGCATCCTCCACCATGCACGCCGCACCTACCTCCCCCCCTCAGCCGTACCTACCTACCCCCTCACGCCGTACCTACCCCCTCATGCCGTACCTACCTCCCCCCTCACGCCGTACCTACCTACCCCCTCACGCCGTACCTACCCCCCTCATGCTGTACCTACCTCCCCCCTCACGCCGTACCTACCTCCCCCCTCATATCGTACCTACCTACCCCCTCACGCCGTACCTACCCCCCTCATGCCGTACCTACCTCCCCCCTCACGCCGTACCTACCTCCCCCCCCCTCACGCCGTACCTACCTCCCCCCCCCCTCACGCCGTACCTACCTCCCCCCCTCATATCGTACCTACCTCCCCCTACCTCCCCCCTCACGTCGTACCTACCTCCCGCACCTACTTCCTCCCGCCTTCCGGTCCATGTTCTTCACCCTGGCCCACCATGCGTGCTTGTCTTCCTAACCCAACAAGACTTGGTCCAACCTCCTTCTTTCACCACCCCCACTTGGGTCAATACTTTCCCAATAAAATGGACCCCTAGGGTCCCATATCCCCATCACAAGTCCCCCACTTCTTTTAGGCATCTTGATGCCTAAAGGAAGTAGAATTCGGTACAACTACCTCCTTTCTTTCCCAAACTCAACCTCTAGTTCCCAAGCTTTCATGATATCCCCATCACAAGTCCCCCACTTCTTTTAGGTATCTTGATGCCTAAAAGAAGTAGAATTCGGTATCACCACCTCCTTTCTTTCCCTTTCTCAACCTCTCGCCGCCACCTTCCATTATCACCATTGTTGTGTGTCACTTCATTACTCCGTACCTCTGCCACACACACCGCATGTTGCCCTGGCCTTCGCTTCATCACCTAGTGTCGAGAGGTCAAGGTGACTCCTCTATTGTCACTTCTTGGATGCTTCTTGCACTGTACATCTCTTTTGTTGCATTTATTTAGTATGCTTTGTCAATTTCTCCATGATGCACCTGCATGCTTCTTTTAAATATTCAATGGATGTCTTTGCTCCTTCTCCATGCTACACCTGCATGCAACCTTTTTTTTTTTTTTTTTTTTTTTTTTTTTTAAGGATGAAGGTAACTGAAGATTGCAGGACGCGGTAGTGTGGGTTGCGATAACCCACACGCCCCCTCCGCCAACGCCATGCAGCTTGCCGGGGCAAGTCCGCGCATGTGGGTTGCGATAACCCACACGCCCCATCCGCCAACGCCATGCGGCTTGCCGGGGGCAAGTCCGCGCATGTGGGTTGCGATAACCCACACGCCCCATTCGCCAAAAACCATGCGGCTTGCCGAGGGCAAGTCCGCGCATGTGGGTTGCGATAACCCACATGCCCCATCCGCCAAAACCATGCGGCTTGCCGGGGGCAAGTCCGCGCATGTGGGTTGCGATAACCCACACGCCCCATCCGCCAAAAACCATGCGGCTTACCGGGGGCAAGTCCGCGCATGTGGGTTGCGATAACCCACATGCCCCATCCGCCAAAACCATGCGGCTTGCGATAACCCACATGCCCCATCCGCCAAAACCATGCGGCTTGCCGGGGGCAAGTCCGCGCATGTGGGTTGCGATAACCCACACGCCCCATCCGCCAAAAACCATGCGGCTTACCGGGGGCAAGTCCGCGCATGTGGGTTGCGATAACCCACATACCCCATCCGCCGAAACCATGCGGCTTGCCAGGGGCAAGTCCGCACATGTGGGTTGCGATAACCCACATGCCCCATCCGCCATGGCCGTAGAGCCAGCATGCATAGCACGTAAGAGCACATAGGAGCACATAGTTGAGGTGGCCGTGGGCCAAGCATGCAGAGCACATAGTTGAGGTGGCCGCGGGCCAAGCATGCAGACACATATGAGCATATAGTTGAGGTGGCCGCGAGCCAAGCATGCAGAGCACATATGAGCATATAGTTGAGGTGGTCGTGGGCCGAGCATGCAGAGCACATAGGAGCACATAGGGGCACATAGTTCGGGAAAATAAACACAATCTTTACCTAACTAAGTGTTCAAGTGTACTCACCAGAGTAGCGTCTCGATATGCTAAGTGTGTTACCTTATAGGGTAGCTCCTCTTGCGAATCAACCATTTGGGCGTACCTCGAAACCTTGCTAGGATGGTAGAGACTACAAACACGGGCTAATCGTAGCGATCCCCACAGATGGTGCCAATGATGGTTTTATTGGGACCGGGTCCATCATAAACCGGGTATAGGAACCAATGCGTACAAAAGCCCGAGGTACAGGCCCAGAATGGCAGCCGAATTACAAAGAACAAGGCCCACAGGATGGGCTATAGCGAACTATGCTACTGGTAGGAATCGAACCCAGGTGACTGGATTGAGAGTACAAGACCAAAACCACTAGACTGTAGTGCTTATCGTGTCTGAGTTGCCCCTTAGCCAAAGATCCAGGGCCCCTATTTATAGCAAGCTCTCCTCCTCCTCTAGCGTCCGCGTGTCCCACGTTGCTCCTCGCCACTCCGCTTGTTTGTCGCCATGCATGTCACGCCGCCACTATCCCCGCGACTCCCGCATCCTCCACCATGCACGCCGCACATACCTCCCCCCCTCAGCCGTACCTACCTACCCCCTCACGCCGTACCTACCCCCCTCATGCCGTACCTACCTCCCCCCTCATATCGTACCTACCTACCCCCTCACGCCGTACCTACCCCCCTCATGCCGTACCTACCTCCCCCCTCACGCCGTACCTACCTCCCCCCCTCACGCCGTACCTACCCCCTCATGCCGTACCTACCTCCCCCCTCACGCCGTACCTACCCCCCTCATGCCGTACCTACCTCCCCCCTCACGCCTTACCTACCTCCCCCCCTCACGCCGTACCTACCTCCCCCCCTCATATCGTACCTACCTCCCCCCTACCTCCCCCCTCACGTCGTACCTACCTCCCGCACCTACTTCCTCCCGCCTTCCGGTCCATGTTCTTCACCTTGGCCCACCATGCGTGCTTGTCTTCCTAACCCAACAAGACTTGGTCCAACCTCCTTCTTTCACCCCCCACTTGGGTCAATACTTTCCCAATAAAATGGACCCCTAGGGTCCCATATCCCCATCAGTATCTAACATGGCATGAATTGTAGGAGGATCAATTGAGTGCTTATTCAAATCATGAACTCCTGTCAAGAAGTAAGGTTAATAGCGGTCGAAGGTAATCGATCCTGACCGATGTCGGATACG